TAGTGAGATAGAGATGATTTGGGAATGGTCACAAAAAGAAGTGGGAAAAGTGACCATAGTAACAAATGAAAGATTATATTAAAGCTCTTATAAAAAAAGATTAATCTGCCCAAAAAACAGTTGTCAAATAATAAGGAAGATGGATGCTGTGAAAGATAGAAAAGAATGCTATAAAAGAAAAGTTCCACTCTTAATCTGCTAAATATAAAATATATTCCTAAAACCCCAAAACAAAGTCAATAAGTAAACCTAGGACTTAGTACTTGGCATAGTTTCTAGCTAAAGTAATAACCAACAAAATGAATCCAATTATGTTGGTTCACAAGAGATAAAGAAAAAACATCAAAACCAAAAACCAAAAAAGACTTAATCATGTCAGTGGTTACATATGCAAAAACAAACTATTCAGGTGAAAATGGCTATGTAAAAGAGACAAGGGAGCCTAGCAAATAGAGCACAGAATGTAGTCTTGCTCCAAAAAAAGTCATAATGTTTAGAAAGTCAGTGTACCATTTCCAGAGCTGAAATAATGTAGTCTCAGTGGAATCTTTTGAGAAAGTGATAGAGCATTAATAAACAATACCGTGGTTTCTAAAGAGAAAAAGGATTCCTAACTTTTAAAAAGAGAACATTTTGATTTATTAACAAAGTTATTTCAATATTAACTGTGAAAAATGGCTTACCTTTCTTCTCCTAGAATATAAGATGCTGACAAAACCACATGATATTTCCAAAGAAAGATATTATTGCTTGAATCTGGGTCACTGAAATAATCAACTGTTCAAAATGAGACAAAAGAAAAGAGTAATATTAATTATCTATACTTATATATTTTCTTTGTTGTTAACATGAAACATCTATTAATAAAAGCCTAAGCAACCATTACAGCAGAACGACAGAACAACTGGTCGCTATGATGCACAATGACCACCAGGGGCAGACGCTCAAAACAGTGCACTCCCACAGGGGGAGCGGCCACTCAGCCAGAAGCTGGGCTCATGGCTGGTGAGGGCAGCAGTGGTGGCAGGAGCCTCTTCCACCTCTGGGGCAGCACTAAGGAGCAAGCAGGAGGGCGGTTAGGAGCAAGGGATCCTGGATCCCCCGTGGTAAGGAGCCTGCTGCTAAGAAGCAACTAGCCGAGCAGTAAGGAGCAAGCAGGTGGGAGATAAGGAGCGAGGGATCCCAGATTGCAAGAGGGATGTCCCCTGAGGGGTCCCAGACTGCGAGAGGGCGCAGGCCGGGCTGAAGGACATCCTCCCCACCCCCCTTCCCATGCACAAATGTTGTGCACCGGGCCTCTAGTGTGAATACTTTAAGTTGAAGTCCATATGAAGAAGTACTACAGAGATATAACTTGATTTCCTAAAAAGTAGAGTCAAACTTTCCAGGAAGCAAACATAGACAAAACCCAAAAGAAAAGTGTTCTTAGGAGGTAAAGCAATTGTCCAAAAAAACACAGAAGCTGAGCATTTCTGATATTACTCTTTCATTAACTAGTATGACTAACAAAATGACTCATAACAAAATTTCTTATAAATTTCCATCAGGTTTTAATTATCCATATTAGTTATGTAATATGTAAATTATTTGTACTTATCTTTTTCTTATAGTTAGTACCTGAAAACCACTCTTTTCGCCTCTCACCTAGCTTCCTAATGGTTTGTCCTCAATCTGCCCTCCTTTCCAATCATATTATGCCAGGAGCCGGTCCATCCTTGCTGTTGTATGTATCTCATATGAAACCTGATAAGGCCATTCCCTGGAGAGTTCAAACCTGGGGACAGGTTTGAACTCTCCAGGGATAACTCCTTTGAAACAAAGACAGGACAAATAATTAACTCTATTTAAACAATTCTTGATCACTCAATATCAACAGGTTATTTCAACAGGTTATTTTTAATTTTAAAAGTTTTCTTTAATATTTACCATTATTACTCCACTTACATTTTTTCCCTAAATAGGAATATGAATCAGGTAATACAAAAAGACCCCACTGTACATTATTTTTTTTTTAAAGGGTGGGGACAGGATACAGACAGGAATATCCCAAACAGCTTCAAGGACAAAAAGCATGTTCCACACCAGATCATATTTAAGTTCCTCATCTAGAATTCAACTAACATATAACTGCAGCAATCAGCCAAGCTTAGCAAATTAAAATATCAGTAATTTTGAA